CCGCCGCCGCCACCGCCACCAACGAGGTGGCCCGAGTGGTGGCAGCCTTCGCTCCGCTCCCGGGCGCACCGAGTGATCCTGGCACCTCCCACCTCAGGGCTCCGGCCCCGGCCTCGCCGCGCGCCCCAGCCAATCTCCAGCCGCCCGCCCCCCCACCCCCGCCCGCGGGCCCAGGCGGGGAGGCGAGGTGGAGCCCCCCTCGGCCCCTCCCGTCGGCTCCCGCGCGTCCTGCCCCAGCTCGTGCGCCCCTCTCCCGCGCACCAGCTGCCCTGCCTCAGCGCCGGGCTCGCCTTGAGCCTCTCCCAGGGGCTCCCTCACCTCCCTGGGCATTTCCTCGCCGATCGCCTTCTCCATCCTTCCTCCTTATCTCCCTCCGCCACAGCCTCTCCTGTTCCTTTTCTCACTCACTTCACTTGCTTATCTGCCCGTCTCGGCCTTTCCCCCTCCGCTCTGCTTTCTCTTTCCTGACACCTTGGTTCTCCCTTCTCCTGGCAGGAGGCTCCTGGCTGCCCACCCCCTCTGTTCCAGGAGGGCAGTTCTTCACCTGTCCGTCCTCAAGCATGTGTTTGAACTCCTGCCTGGTGCCGGGCATTGTGCTGCTGGCTGCTGGGGGAATCAGAGATGGATCTGACCCAGGACCCCCCACCTCCAGGGACACTGTAGCCTAGTGGGGGCGAAGGTAATCATAACTGCCATTCAGTGAGCTCTAAGTGCCGTAGACACTGCGCAGCACTTCACGGCCTTCTCACCGGTTATTTCTATTGATAGCTAATACTTCTTGGGTACTTACTGTGTCTGTTCTAAGCACATTGCATAAGTTACCCCATTTAATTCTCACAGTAATGGTATAATAAGGCGAGTGGGTACTGTTATTATCTTCACTTTACAGATAAAGGTACCCAGGCAAAGAGAAGTTAAGTGAGGATAAGGGGCCAGGACTTGACCCTTGGTGGTCTGGTTCCAGAGTCAGAACCCGGGTGACACCGGGAGGTCTGGATTCTGAGTCTGCAGGCTGGCTGGCTTTGGGGGCCTTCAGGTGAAGTAACTGGCCCTCAGTCACACACTAATGGGTGAGGGAGCCAGGATTTGAATCCAGGTCTGGACTCCAAAGGCCAGGGCTTAACTACTTTGCCCTAAGATAAATTCCAGCCCAGGCCAGGAAAGGATGCGGGAGGAGGAAGGAATTGAGGATATCCAGGTTTGGGATGGAACCCCATGTTTGGGGTCTTTTCCTTCTGTCTGGGCCCTGCCTTCTCTTGGCTTTCCTATGGGAGGAGCTTTGGAGAAATGCTTGAGGGTGGGAGAACTTCTTGAGAGCCTGACCTGAGACCTGACCTCCCTAGTCTTTGGTGCGGAGGTCCGCTGGGAAGGTGTCTTGCAGGAGGGCTTGGGGCATTCTGGGGGCTGGATCTGCACTTGACCCCCTCCACTTCTGCTCTTACCTCTCCTACCCCCTATCCTCCTGAAAATTTCCAAGGCTCCTGTCTTCCCATGATCTGTCCTTGCAGTAGTAGTGGAGAGAGGGGAGGGGCCGCTCTTCTTAATATTCAGCAGACACACACGAAGCACCTACTGTGTACAAGGTGTGGGGTGTGGTGTACACACCACAGGTAGGGATCCAGAAATGCAGAAGACATAGTCCCTGCTTCATCTGATCTAGTGTGAGAAAAAGACAAAAGGCAGGGCAGAGGGCACAGAAGGACGTTCAGCAGATAGAGCCCAGGGTGGGTTCAGGCGAAAGAGCACAAAGAGGTTCTGTGGATGACCCGCCAGAAGGTAAAGGACCCCTCCCTGTCGGCCCAGGCAGCGGAGTGTAGTAATGGTGCAAGAGCCTAGACTTTGCAGGCAAAAAGAGCCAGTTTGAAGTCCAAGTGCATACTCACTGAGTGACCTTGGGCAAGTACTTAGCCATTCCAACCATCCATTGTCTTGTTTGTAAAGTGGAACACTCTCAACAGTTACTGTGAGGGGCAAACCAAAAAATTCATGGAAAGAAAGCCCCCTGCACAGTGCCAGCACATAATAGGCACCTAGGAATGGAAGATCTCTAAGGGATGTATGCCTTCAGGGTGAAAATGTGATGTGTGTTCTGCAGGCTCCCTTGGATACCTTGGCCCTGGCTCTGGTTTGGGACCCTGAGCAGTAATTCTGTTCCCTGTGCTCCAGCTGATCCTTATCCCTGCTTTAGGCTTGGCAGGGCTTCTGCACCCCCCGGGGGGACATGTGGTCTTGGGCACTGGCAGGGGGCGTTGGCGCTCCCCAGGTGATGTGCAAGGCGCTGGCTCCCTCGGCAGCTGGTGGCCTCTGCTGGTCTTGGCGGCCCAGTGCCTGGCCCGGACAGCAGGAGGCATTGTTCCTGCTCCTGGTTATGTAAGAACCACACACGGGAAGAGCCAGGTGAGTCATACCTGGCAGCTCCAGGGGCTGCAAAGGGCAGAGGCGCCAGGCTGGAAGCCATCTGGAAGAGGATAGGCCGTCTATACCTGACAACTTTGCCTTGGGGACCCCCAAGGCTCCCTGACACGGTGAGATTAAGGAGGGAAGGCCTTCACAGGAATGCAGCCCAGGTGGGGTCTGTGCCATGGGGCAGTCATTCAGGAAGATCTGCTACGGCCGGGTCAGTGGGTGACCTTGGCTCTGTGGCCCGAGTGAGCAGGGAGGAGGCTGCACTGATGTGCTGCCTCTTCCCGATGAGGCTGTTCCAGGACCTAGGCAGCTGTGTGGAACACCTGGCAAGCTGGGCATTTGTCCATCCTGGAGCTTCTGCGGTCTGTCCAGGTGCACATTGCCCCCAGCTGATGGAAAGGACCGTTTGTTAAAAAAAAAATAAATGTGTATTTGTGGTTTGTTGTGAGCAAAGTTCTATATAGATACCTCTTAGATCAACCTTGGTAGTTATGTTATCAAATCCTACATTTTTCTGCCTTTTTATTGCTTGCTTTAGTGATTCTCTAAGTGTGGTCAGCGTTCTCCTGAGGGTCCCCAAGTCCTTTTCAGGGAGTCTACAAGGTCAAAATTGTATGCAATTCAAAGATTCACTCTAAGTACAAGATAGATCAATGGATCTTAAGGTAACAGAGTAAGAAAAGTTTATGGGTACGGATTCAGGTTCTGCATTACAACCAACATTTAAGGAACGGGCCACATGGCAATTTTTTAGTAGTATCAAAGAAGAATATCTACAGTGTCTGAAAAGGCTGTTAAAATACTCTCTTTTGCAGCTACATTTCTGTGTGAGGCCAAATTTTCTTCATATACTGCGACCAAAACAACATGTAACAACAGATTGAGTGCAGAAGGAGGTATGAAAATCTGAGTCTATTAAGCCAGATATGAAAGAGATTTGCAAAAATTAAGACAATGCCACTCTTTCACTATTTTTTTTTGTTTTGTGAAATATAATTATTTTTCACAGAATTTGTTATTTATCTTCACATATAATGGGTTTATTTTTGTTACTTTAAGTGAATTAATAAAATTTCTCTCAGTTTTAGTTTTAAACATGGTAAATATTGGTAGGTGTAAAAGCACATAAATGGAAGGTCTTTAATCTAAAAACCTCAATCATTTTTAAGAGTGTAAGGGGTTCCTGAGACCAGAAAGTTTAAGAACTGCTGGTTTACTTATTCTGTTCATTTCTTTTCCTTTTTTTTTTAAAAAGTAATCCATATACCCAACATGGGGCCGGAACTCACAACCTCCCGATCAAGAGTAGCATGCTCTACCGACTGAGCCAGTCAGGTGCCCCTATTCTATTCATTTATGATAGAGTGTATAAAATCTACTTTGATTGTGGGTTTAGTATTTTTTCCTTTTTTTTTTTTTTGGAATCAGTTTTGCTTTATATACTCTGAAGCTATGTTGTTATAAGCATAAAGGTTCATGGCCATTATATGTTCTGGTCGGATTATAATTTCTATCTGTATGAAATAGCCTTCTTCATTCCTTTTAGTGCTTTGGCCTTGGGAATAATCATTCCATGAACGAACATTTAACTAGAGCCTACTGTGGGCCAGGCATACCCATGAAACAGTCTCGGTTCCTGTGCTTGGGGAGAACAGGGACACACAAAGGCAATGTAGTGTGGCAGGAAGAGTCTGGGCTTTGAGTCAGACTGACTGGTGGTGAATTCTGGCCACTTGCTAGCTGTGTGTCCTTGGACATCTGTCTGTTGAGCTTTGAACCTTAATTTCTTCATGTGTAGAATGAGGTGAAGAACATTTATTTACTGGGTGTTAGTGAAGACTTACTGAGGCAAGGGAAGAGAGGAGCACCTGGCAGAGTGCCTGGCATATGGGAGCTCTATGATTAGTACTATAATGGAGCCATGAGTGGGAGAACTGCCCCATTCATGCCTCCTCTCAAGGACCCCCACATCCCCGCCCCCTGGGAGAGGCAGTGCATGGCAGGAACCAAGTGTACCGAGCTTGGACTCAGAAGATCTCAGTTGTGTGTTTCCAACTTAATAGCAAGTCCCCCCCACACCCTGAGTGTCAGTTTCCTCATCTGTGAGATGGGGAGGACCACCTCTGCCTCATGTTCTCCATGGGGCCATCTTGAGGATCAAATGAAATAAGGAAGAAGAAGGAGGTTGAGATGATGATGGAGGTGAGGCTGACTTTGTTTGTCCCAGCCTGTGAGCAAGGTCTGCGAGCACAGGCTTGCCTGCCTCCGAGGAGGGCTAGGATGCCCAAGGTGATGAAACAGAATCTTGTCCTTATTTCAGAGTCTTCGGGAATTATTTGCCTTTTACGATCTCAGTGTTCCCCGCTGAGATACCAGCCTTCATAGCAGTGGTTCCTGAGTGCTCGGCAAAAAGCCCAGCCTGAGTGGCCTGTGTAATTAAGAGAACTCTTAGAGCTAGCAGGCCCTGTTGCTGTTGTCCACCAGCATCCCCCATCCCCAACCATTATCTGTGAGAGGAAACTGAACTTGGCCTTCCTGACTCTCAGTCCAGTCCTCTTACTGACACTCCTATAGCACTGTTTCGCTTTCCATCATTTAGCTTTGTTGATTGTAAAGTCAGCGTCTGTCCCGGAGGTCCCCAGCTCCGCAGAGCCTTCCTGCTGCACAGCCTGTGCTCTGGGAAGCAGTTCAGGGGGGCCTGCTTAGGATCTCTGGGTGCCCTGGTAGCTGTGGGGTCCTGCTCGTAGAGGGGCTGGAGCTGGGCTCACTGTCACTGAATCCAGTGGCCAAGGAGGCCAGTCGCAGTCCTCCCTTCTATGACCCTGGACACTGGCAGGCACACTGGTTGTCCTGGATCTCACGGGAACCAAAGCAGAGGCCAAGCTTGTCTTGGACCGGGGCATGTCTAGCTCTAAGGATGCCTGTCTCAAGTGCAACAGGAAGGGTGC